AAAAAAAAAAAAAAAAAAAAAAATTGACCTCTATGATCTTGACAGTAACTCAATGTCAGTTTGATGAACTTTGATAGCAATTCATACAATGTACCAGGTACTTACTTACCAATTAAAGTTGATAGAACTGTTAACTTCATATTATAAAAAGAAGGGCTTATATAGGATATGCCTGTTGCCAAACCCGATTGATTATTTAATCAATGAAATACATTTGAAATGAAAACAAAAAAACAAACAAAAAAACGAATTAATTTCTTTCAGCAATAACAGTGGAATTCCCTCTGTGTTATTTTAACAGAATAATTCCTTTTATGGAAGTTGAACAAACATGTCTCTGCTGTTGTTGTTGAACTAAAAGATTTTCTCTGTCGAAGTTGCACAAAAATGTCCTTTCTATGTCAGACGGACAGAAGGATTTCATCTTTGGTATTTGAACAGAATTTATTCCCTATGGAAGTCAACTAAAGGATTTAGGTTGAACAGAAGGATCCTTTCTGTTGTAGTCGGACAGAAAGGTTTCCCTCTTTGTAAGTTGTACAGGGAGATTTCCCAAGAATAATTAAATATAACAACAACCCTTGATAATAAAAAGAACGTGTCCCCGGAATGATAAGCTTTTCAACTACAAGTAAACCCTGCAACAGCTGATCTCAGGTGACCTTAGAACAGATCCTCCTCATACATGTACGGTCCGGTTGGACATTAAGCAACTCGTGATCTAAACAATATAAAAAACGCAAAGTTACGAGAGCTTTTTATGACTAGTCCTTCATGTACATTTGTCAGTATAGAGAGATTCCTACTATCAACTGGAATTATACATTTCAAGATACTGATGGATTTTGTTGAAGACTACGCCAGACAATGGTCAATGAGAAAGCATGCGGAATTTGATTCAATTTTATGGTTCAAATCTATCAAGTTCATAATTAAAATAATTAGACGCTTGACATTCATGGGCGGAATCGTTATGTTTAAATAGCATGGGATATATCCAACTATAATCATCATTGCCATGGAGGGTTTTGGTCTCTCAGTTACCATGGTGACTAAGATGAAACCCTGCTAATTAAAACAATTTTAGGATATTTCTGTTTATCTACCACAAAGAGCAATCCTTCTGTTGTAATAAAATCCCTTGATGCATCGTTTAATTATCATAGGGAGAGTCTTTTTGTTTAATAACCATAATAGGGGATTCTTCTGTAAAATTTCATAGAATGCTGTATCTGTTAATTGCTACCGGCAGAGACCTATATATACATACGTCTCTGCTACCGGTAAAGATATAGGGTGGAATATTATTTTAACGAACAAAGAGGGAATCTTTAGCCTAGCGAAATTTTTCTCTTTGACATAACTGAATACTGTTGGATAATTATAGGAGAAATCCTTATTAATTCACATTTAATTAGTTATCATACGATATAGGGGTCATTTTCTCTTCAATCGCCATATGGAAAATCCTTCATTTCACAAACGAATGGGATCTCTATAATTATAATAGAACAGAAAGATTTTTTTTTATTATATTAGCACAATTGAGTTTGTCTGTGTAACCCAAAGAAATTGAATCCTCATGCTAAGATAAGTTATCTATAAAACTAAAGAATGCTAACTATTTAACATAAAATCAAATCAATCTGTCCAATAACAACATTATGGTATCCTTCTTTTCTCATTATAATAGGGAAACTACCTCTGCTCAATTAACATTTTAACAGGGATTTTCTTTTTTAATTACCATCGGGGAAAAAGTACCGTGTTACTGCCATTGTGGTAGTCATTCTACTCCAACCACCCCTACTCCAACTACCAACACCATTCTGTCCCCTCTCTTTCACTCCTTCTAGGACGTGTACATTTGCGAATGGATGCATATGAACTTGCCAATGTTCTATCGTTCATCGTATGTAATCTAGCGTGGTTATTTTTAAGCTGCCGGTTTGAAACTGTTGACATTATTATTGTAATGGAAAGGGCTTTGTATAAGTTATATAACTTGGGCCCAATCCTGTTAATATTTTAAGGCAATACAATGTTATTAAATCTTTCTGTAATTATTAAAGAGTTCGAGAAAGCCTTCTTTTAAACTATCATAGGGGGTCCTAAATAGTATTCATGGGGAGTGGTATTCCTCCTTTTTACAACTATCAGGGGATCACTCCGTTTCAAGTGGGAGTCATCCTATTTTACTTAGAGGGAATCCTTCTGTTTACCTGCTTTAGCAGAAATCCTTGTCTTATTATGATATACTAGGATCTTTCCCTTTAATTATCATTGAGATAATATTTCGGTTTTAATATTTAATGTTTTATTTTCGATACGGTTAATCCTTCCGTTTAACTAAAACTATTGAAGCCTTTTGCTTAATTGACACAAATGAAATCTTAGTTTTAATTATCACACTAAATTTCTCTATTTAACTTCTACAAAAAGAACCTTCTTATTTCCTGTTTAATTATCAAATTCGAATGTATGTGGGGGTGTTGGGTGTGTTCTGATTACCTATAGACTCAGTGGGATTCATCTCTCTAATTCTGTATAACTGATATAGGATCTTTTGATTTTTAATTACTGAAGTTATAAGCTTTAAGTCTTTAGCAAATATATTAAAAACACGATTTTTTTTAAATCTCAAAAACATAACCTTCAAAATGGTCATTTTACATCCTCATATAATGTAGTTTTGGAAAGTTATATTTACCTGTATTTCTGATATATATATACTGGACGACAGATTAGTGGAAATTTATCATAAAGCTTACCATTCTCTGAACAGCTGTACTATACATGTGTCTTATTATGATAGGGTTGTCCGAATTTATTACCATTGAGATTCAAATTCAAATTTATTATCAAACTAACCATGCTTTGGGTTAACCCTAACTTTTAACCCTAACGTTTACCACGTGTGCGCTACATTTGTTCAAAGCATTGTTAGATTAATAATAAATTTCGACAAAATTTGAACGCCGATGCCAACTGCTTGCAATGGCATATATATTATGTGCTCAGCATCCGTGATTTTTGAAAATGTATGTGATCTTAATATAAAATTATTTTACAAATTAAAGCTTTTGTAGACAACTTATCTATACAGACATTAAAAATATTGAACAGTATTTTTTATTGAAACTTTTTTTGTACTTTCACTTAGTTTGGAGACAATTTCCATTATGTCTGCAATGTATTTTGCTTTATGGTGTATTTTATACATCTTGAATCCAACTTGAATGTATATATACATTGACAGTCTATAATCCTTCAGAATCTCAATCGGTCAGCTTCTGCCTGGTAATAGCCCCCTTCAAGAGGTTGAAAAGATTCTGCTATGTTTACATTAGAACCAATCATTGGCCATGTGACAAGCTGAAATTCATGAAGGTATATAATGTAAACATCGACTAATAAAACATTTCCGCCAAATTATGTTAGTTGATATAAGTTTAATCTTGTAAGCAATGAATAAGGCATTTTATTTTTATCCTGCCCACATTTCCTCGCGTTGTGCAATGTTTGTTTACATCTGAGAGTGATCTCCCCTGACACATTGAGCACCCAGTTGTTTATGTATTTGTTGTGTAAATCTATAAATATCACGTACAGATTTCATCGCTATATGACATCTTTGGAAAATTAGAATTCCAAAATGAATCTCCCGTATCAATTCTGTCAATAAACTATTTTCAGTGTTGTCCATGATGCGAAACTACGTCTGTATTACCGGAAGTTGTGAAATGGGGCCCCGTGATAAAATATAAGAGAACCCCTCAAATCGTCCTTTTCTACATTGGACGGCCATTTCGTACTAACGATGCCTGTGAGTGTTGTAGAATTTAAGCCATTTCTCCGGTTATACTTCAAGATTTGGCTTCTTGGTTATACGTAGAGATTCAAGTGAAAATTCTGAATTACTTATGGATAAGAAGAACATGAATAAAGCTAAAGCAATATGTATTATTCGTCGTTGAAGTGGGACGATAAGTGCATTCTTATATATGATATTGGAGTGCACTTTATGTATTTGCGGTTATAAGTTGACATGCTATCGTATAACCAGCACAATTGTTGTTTTAACGAGATATGATGGATCTTTTGTCCTCTACGGAATTATATTTACATGTCGCTTCCAGAAATTGCTGTATTGAGTAGGATTATGGCAGGCCACGTGGGAAACATATTGGGGATGTGTTAAATGTTGAACAAATTCCGGATAATTTGAGTCCGGATTGTCAATAATTATGGTTATCGTAATGGTGTTTTTGACACCAACGTGTTTAACATATTTCCTGAAACAATAAAGTACAATTACTAATATGATCACGGTTGATTACAATCATGATATTATTGAAAACAATTAGAGGGCATGGCCATGGGGGCTCTGCAAGTTATTTTTATCCAGATTCCAATGTGTGACTGATATTTCTGGAAAATACGGAAAGCAACACTCAAATCTATCTCAAGAAGGAGCCAAATTTTGAATGATTATCAAAATTTAATAATTGTAAGGTATAGATTAGATATATGTAAAACAAAGTAAATTTATATTCATTACTACAAAATTGGTCATCTGACTATCTCGCATTGTAACATTAAATGTAATGCAGTTTTAACCCTTTCATCCCTATATAACTTCATCAGACACTAATATGTATACATCTGGATGAATCCACTATGGTCTACAGTGTTGAAAGGGTTAAACCTTCATAATGATGTAATGTCCACAGGTATAACTATTGGCTGTGTAATACAGGCTCTTTGGGCCTTTTGTTGTGAACGTGGTTACTGAAATATACAATTGTTTATCATTATAGCTTGCTAAAGACTTACTACATCCCTCCATGGAGGAGGAGAGGAGGAAAAATAAACTGAAGAGATTGGTCCAGAGTCCAAACAGCTATTTCATGGATGTGAAATGTCCAGGTATGTAGCTCAACTAAATTCGATAAAAGAAATTTTCCTATTTCACAGGGGCGTATCATTTCATTTTAGACTATTATCCTGCAGACAGATTTTGAAAATTAAAATTTGCCCAACCTATTATATATTTTCGCAGTAAGTACAGGGAAAATCCTGTAATTTGATAGCAGTGGACAATTTTCAGTTTTCAAAATTGCTAGCCTCCTGACAGGGATTTTTTTGTAGTCTCGCTTAATAACCCCTATGGGTTGTCAATGCTATGGGCACGTGTTGCAGCGCATCGCTTCCGGTCGGAACACTGACAATAGCTGCTGGTGTATGATGAGTTACATTGTTCAACAGAATATCGGCCAATAATATGTTTACATTCAAAGTTAACTGTTTACTAGTCCGAATTATTCTGACGTTTTATCGACTTTTTTCATATCATGTGCGACATGTGTGTGAAAGTGACGATTTGTTTTTAAAATATCAGTTTAAAGTGCGCTCCGGGCGCGGGTCGCATATTTCCCGCATTTTATAGAGGGCCAGAGTTCTGACGTTAATCGACGACGGACTGATATGAAAAAAGACGATAAAACGTCAGAATAATTTGGACTAACTGTTTACATGCACTCAATAGTAAAGCAAGTATACTGATCAATTTCGAGGTCTGTCAATCAGCAGTCGGGAGCAACATTTCTGTCTGGGAAGTCAATAAATACTTTCCTACTTTTTGAGACGGTTTTAGGGTACGTTGATTTGCTAACCAAATAGTACAGGTAACTGAACTGCAATCAGATACTCGTTACCTATTCCAGCCCTACCTGAAAGACCTGGCATCGTAAACACATTTTCTTAATTTCATGTTATCAAGCATCAAATCTATCATCAGATTCATTCTACCACAAGGAGGCATGTCCTTTAATTAGCTGTTGTTAGGACGTTTAACCCTACATAAACAAAAACAAACTAAATGTATTCGTTATATTTTCTTGGTCCAGGTCAGGTTTATAAAAAAATCAGTCAGTCTACCTTGTAAAATATAAGAAACCAATATGATAAGGACCTAGTCTTTGATTAGAGCTGTCACGATACACTTTACCCACGATTCGATACGTATCTCAATATTTGTACCACGATTCGATTATTTCGATTCGATACACCTTTATTTTAAAATGTAAACAAAATGAGATATATATAAGCCGTCGATACATGGAAACCTGAAGTGTTTCCACGCTTTTGATTTGAAGCTTGCCGGAGCATCACAAATTTCCATTTCCTTACCACAGTCCGCCATTTTGTTATAAATACTTTGTGAAAATTGTATCCTTTCAGCCGATTGGCTGAGGGTTTAGAGATCAGCCAATGAAATTGAACGTTTCGGCTAAAGTGGCATACACTAATATTTAGATCGTGACATATCGAAAATCTGGAAAAATATATCATGAATCGAATCGAAAAATTGCGGTACAAGTGCATTGCAGTGAATCGTGACGCCTCAATCTATGATATGTAAATTCTAAAAAATGACCAAGTCTAGTTAAATCTGGAGAGAAAAATTATTTCTTACATGACATTCTTCACTATCACTATGTCTAGGCCCAACACACAAGTGAACTGGAAATATACACCTGTCAATGTGATAAACATCAGGTATTATAGTTCCATTTAATGTCTGCTTCCATAGAGCTAAAGTCTTTACTAATACTTATTTATGAAGTAGGGTTCATGCTATGGCAGCATAACTAACACTAGTCCTCTAATCGGTGACGAGTAAATTTCAGTAAGGACTAGAGAATCAAATTACCTAACTGGTGCTTTGGACATATAAAAAGATATGTTATCTTAAATTACAAATAAGAATATCTTTGGGAAAAGTGGTTATATATTGATTCTACATAGAATAATAGTTGTCTAAACTTTCCTCGTTCTTTTTGAATCCATATTTACAACTGTTTATAAAAGGGTCAATATGTTAAAGGCAGTTAATGATCTTTAAAATTAATGTCTTACCTATTCAGCTATGAAAAAATAAATAAGCTTAACTTTGTATTTTGTGAAATATTTCTACAAAGATTATCACTTCAAGTCTGAACTTAACATGTTAACTGTTTCGTTATTTCACAGTGTTTTATTTTGTGTTACAGGCTGCTATAAAATCACCACAGTTTTTAGCCATGCCCAGACCGTCGTATTGTGCGTCGGGTGCTCCACAGTTCTGTGCCAGCCCACAGGAGGAAAATGCCGGTTAACAGAAGGTGTGTGCATGATAATTTGAACATCGCCTGAGGGGTGCATGTCAGTCCTTGGAATTTTGTACATTTGGAATGTATATGTTATTACATGAAAGTGTAAAATAATTGTGGTTTCTGGTTTTATCCTCTTAAAAAATTACGGAATGAGACTAAAAAAGAATGTATAATTGTAATTAGAGGGATGAACAACATTTCACTGACATTCTGTGGTTGTAAGAAACATGTTACATTATATATATATATATGTAAATTATGTATCAATTTATAAATAAAATAAAACATGAAGACTAGTATAATTGGCTAGCGCTTTTCCGCTATCTTAGGGCTCTTGAGGCGATTTAAATTCATTTGTCAGTTGTATCTAATTATATTGTTAAAGGTGTTTATTACGAATAATTTAAGCTGAATGAGAAGAACACTATTATTGGTGAAATTTGTTAAGTTTCATTTTGCTCAGTTTTGGTGATTCATTCTACTGCAATATCACAACAAATTGGAACAGCAATTTGTGGCTACATTAATTAGGATCGGATAAAGAAATAACTCTTTTATCAATTTGTATAGGGTAGTTGTTTTAGGTCGTAGCCAAAAATTATAACAAAAACCAAAAAAATCCACTTCTTGCAATGAAATTTTAAAGTTGAAAATCAAACTAAAATGAAAAGTAATCCAGTATTAGCTTGTGTTAATTCTAAAAAACTAGTCTTTATAGTCCAGGAGAACCTGTGTCATGAAATGCTGCTGTTTAATTTTGGGATCATTAACTCATTCACCCCTGAAGGAATGTTGGAAAAGTTCATTATAAAATTTCAGGGGTGAATGAGTTAATCCAACTACTGTGTAGTTGTTTAATTTCTTGGGGCTAATACAATGTATTTAGCAGTTGCTTTGATCAGAACTAGGTCGTGGGGATTAAATATCGCATAACATTGTCAGGTAAAAATATAACACTCAAGGGGATGCTTTCGTATTTGGATGATGTGATTTATTTTACAAGTGTTTTGCAGTAAAAGGGTAAAAAAAATGTCTTTTCTTTTATCTCTGTATATTCATGGTATTAATATTCACTGGGTATTTTATTTCAAGATATCTTGAGTGACCGCAAAAACAGCGAAAAACACCCTGCAAAAATTACCAACTATACAGTATATATTGTCTTTTTCCGGCTGAAATGGTAGAGATATAAAATAAATTCCTTCAATTACTGCCCGAAAATTAAAGAAATCTTTTAATGTTTTGTTTTGTCACCTCCGTAGATATTTCTAAGGGACCTACAATATTAAATGTGATTACCTAGGATCCTCATTTGATACCAATTTCTGTCTTTTTCAGGCTGTTCTTTCCGGAGGAAGCAACACTAAGTGGATATATTTATGTGTGCAAGAGGAATTCCGTGCGAGGCTGTTACCGTGGAGACGGTGATTTGGTGTGGGTGAATACTGGCCCATGGTGATTGACAGCAGAGGGCAACACATAAACCATGCTCTGGATCTTTGGAAATGCTTGAAGACGTCGTCACACCTTCATCTGTAAATCATCATCCTGCTTGTGATCTTATCATATAACAAGGGAGATTACTCTTGATTCCATCTTGTATGGGACAATACACTATATCTGATTGAAAGTAATTAATTACATCGTAGAAACAAAAGTAAGCTGGGCAATTATAAGACACTATTTAATATAAAAGATTCATCATACTTAATGTGTCTGCCTTTATGCTAATAAAACTTTGGGTATTCACAAACACCAATCCATTGCATTCACTTATTTGTATATCCTAGATCTGGTAAAATACGTCAAAATCTTGTAACATTGCATTGCCCCTTGTTTAATCATTATAAAACAAAGGGGTTTTTTTGGGGGGGGGGGTATTATGGAATCCGTATAAATGGATGTCTTATCTGCAAATTTTTCAGTGTTTTCTTTACATCCATTTTACAACCACCTGTTCCTTTGCAATTGGGAAAATACATGAAATCTTGCGCACAGCGCAAGCGCCAAAGGCCGAAGCCATGTTGGGGGGTTCCTGGAAAATTTTTGAATTCTAGAAGCTCCGAGGTGCATTCTGATAGTTTTTGTAGAGAAATAATTGCTCTTAAAAAATGACATTTTTCTTTATTCATTCTATTTAAAATTTGTAACAAATTCTTTACAAAATGTAAGATGAAAATCATTGACAAGGTTAGAATTTTTGAAATCACAATTTTAATAAAGTTAAACAAGGTACCACCAAATCAATCTCTTTGTCCACTTCTCCATTCTGTGACAGAGGGGTTACTGAACTTGGGGATATAGAACCTGACAGGAACAGGGAGGCAGTAAAGGCAATATTTATGTGTGTTGACTTTATCCTTAAGCAACAGCTGTCAATTTGCGAGACAACAGAAAAAATGGTGCGTTTCCTAGTTGACCTTTGGGTAAAAGACATGAAAGACTAATTGGATCACATATTTGTCCTACAACAGTCACGCAGATGTGTGTCTCGCAACACTATACGAAAAGCAAATTCCGATTCTGAAAGATGGTAAAGAGTTTTCACTCCTAGCAGATAAAAGCCCAGATCAGACGCACGAGTCAACTAAGCAAATGACAAGATCGTCTCTGTGTCCACAAGACTTTGTAGCTTCCTTGAATGCATCGCTTATTTTAGTCAGTCATTTGGAATCATTTTTTCTGATGTTTTTAGTGAAGTATTTTTAATTATGCGACATGGAGTAGAACCGGATGTCAATTTGACGCTTGAAATTCTGATGACCATATCATGACCTAGATTTGAATCTTCGGATTTGACTTCTCCCCTTGCTCAGAAACGGAAAATTTCCGATCGCTGAAGTTATTTTCATTCGGGAGAACGACTTATGTATTTTAACATACACTTTAGACATGTTTTGATAAAATCAAAGATTACAACAATAAGCAAACAAAGACTAAATTAACAGGTACTCTATTTGGGAAAATATGTTTTTATTTTGGGAAAATACATAATTTCAGGGGAAGCAGCCGTTAGACGGCTGTAGATCAGGCCAAAAAACCCCACTGTTTTTTAGCTCACCTGGCACGAAGTGCCAAGCGAGCTTATGCCGTGGCGCGGCGTCCGTCGTCCGTCCGTCGTCCGTCTGTCCGTCCGTCCGTCCGTCAACTTTTCCTTTAAACAACTTCTTCTGAAGAATGGACAGGCCTAGAGTCATGATATTTGGCTGAAAGCTTCGTTGGTAGGAGCCCTACAAAGTTTGAGAACGAAAATGACCTTGACCTGTTTTCAAGGTCACAGGGGTCAAATATGTCAAAAACTTCAAACGACTTCTTCTGAAGAATTAAAAGGTATAGAATCTTCATATTTGGCTGATGGCTTCCTTGGATGGAGCCCAACAAAGTTTGAGAATGAAAATTACCTTGACCTTCTTTCAAGGTCACAGGGGTCAAATGTGTCAAACACTTCAAACGACTTCTTCTGAAGAACTGAAAGGTATATAATCTTTATATTTGGCTGGTGGCTTCCTGGGATAGAGCCCAACAAAGTTTGAGAATGAAAACTAGTTTGACCTACTTTCAAGGTCACAGGGGTCATATATGTCAAAAGCTTCAAATGACTTCTTCTGAAGAACTGAAAGGTATAGAATCTTTATTTTTGATTGATGGCTTCCTTGGATAGAGCCCGACAAAGTTTGAGAATGAAAATGACCTTGACCTTCTTTCAAGGTCACAGGAGTCAAATGTGTCAGACACTTCAAACGACTTCTTCTGAAGAACTGAAAGGTATATAATCTCTATATTTGGCTTGTAGCTTCCTAGGAAAGAGCCGAACAAAGTTTGAGAATGAAAATGACCTTGACCTTCTTTTAAGGTCACATGAGGCAGATATGTCAAACACTTTAAACGACTTCTTCTGAAGAACTGGTAGTTATAAAATCTTAATATTTGGCAGGTGGCTTCCTGGGAAAGAGCCAAACAAAGTTTGCGAATGAAAATGACCTTGACCTACTTTCAAGGTCACAGCGTTCAAATATGTCAAACAGTTCAAACAGCTTCTTCTGAAGAATTAAAAGGCATAAAATTATAATATTTGGCTGGTGACTTCCCGGGATAGAGCTCACCAAAGTTTGCAAATGAAAATGACCTCAACCTACTTTAGAGGTCACAGAGGTCAACAACATTTTAATGGATTTGTTCTTGAGAACTAAAAGGAATGGATTCATAAGATTTGGCTGGTAGCTTTTTGGAATAGAGCTAACCAATTTGAGAAGGAAAATGACATTGACCTACTTACAAGATCACAGGGAAAAATATGTCAAGCAACTTCTGAAGAAGAATCAAAAAGCATAGAATCTTATAATAATATTTTGCTGGTAGTTTCAACAGATGGAGCCAACAAAGTTTGCGAGGGAAATATTTATAGTGCAATATAATATTTAATGAGAATATTTTGCTATGACTGCTTAAATATTCAGGTGAGCGATACAGGCCCTCTTGGGCCTCTTGTATATAAGAAACTGCTCCTAAACTTGTGCAGCAGTTTCCACAACACTTAACAGATAAATAATTTCCCCCTGATGTTGTGCATCCAGGTATATTATTTTCGTTCTGGTCCATTTTTAGGTCACCTGAGCTTTGCTCAAGTGACCTATTCTAATCGCTTTTCGTCCGTCGTGCGTCGTGCGTAAACTTTTACATTTTCAACTTCTTCTCAAGAACCAGTGGTCAGAAACTTGGTCAGAATCATCCTTGGTAGATGAGGCTTCAAAATTGTAAAATTGGGATTCCTACCCCAACCCCTGGGGCCAGGGCGGGGCCCCAAAGGGAAAATTAACCAATATTTCAAAAATCTTCTTCT